CTGTGAGGTCACATATAATGTGTGGAACAACTTTCTTTGGCTGTTTAGTGTGCAGTGGGCTATTCCAGAAGACCTCTCCACCTTATGGTCTGCTTGGTCTTTCAAGAGCCTTAACAAGAGATGTTTTCTTCTATGGAAGATGGTTCCTTTTACTTCCGCATGGGGGATATCCGGATATGGCAGGAAAGAAACAGCAGAATCTCCAAAAGTGCTCTCATGACAAAGGAGAGGTTGATCAGGCACCTGGAGAGACAAGTTATTTCTTGGCTAAAGGCACACAAAGTTTCTTAACTCCAGTTCTTCCCTTTTTTTTTATTGGAAATGGTGACTTTCATTAAGGATATCAAATTACATCTTGCACTATCAACCACTCAAACAAAGAGTGTTGACCCCAACATGACATCAAGAATTACAGTACAGCCCAAAAGAAGTTTTCCCTGAAGGTCCCCTGTTTTTCCAAGCTATCTGCCACAGAATTTGCTGATCTCCATACCCATTTGAAAGCTACTCCAACTTCCCTTGCCGAGAAGATTATTTCCCTTATTTGTTGTCTAAACTTCCATATACCCTAACTCTTTGTTTGCAGCCATCCTATTATCAATTTAGAGTCCCCTTCCACCTCCAGGTTCTGAAATTCCCATTGTTTTGCAAATCTCAGGCCTTGTAGTAGAGCCAAAATTTCAGCTCTCATAGAGTCTCCCACTCCTATGGGACCAAAGTATAGTGCCACCATTCTGCCCTCCCCATCCCTAAAGACTCCCCCTACTCCCGAGGATCCTGGGTTACACATGGAGCTTCCATCAAAATTTAATTTGACATTTTGTTGTGCTGCAGATGTCCAAGAAGGCTGAGGGGCAGGCTGTTTGGTTGAAGAGTTTGCCACTGCTGGCCATCCCCTATGTATATCATCCACTGAAAAGTTTTTAAATAAGTCACTTACTTTCAGCCAATATATGACTTTAATGGCTACACAGTTAATAATTTGTTCTGTTGATATTTGTGCCCCTTGGAATATTCTGTTATTCCTTTCTTCCCATAAAGACCAAAGAATGGCTATTCTTATTGCCCTCCACATCACTCTCCCCCTTTTCTTTGATAGGAGGAAGAAGCTTGGGTTGAAAAGACTTGTCACATCTGGAGGAGAGGTCCACTTGCAGTCAAATAAGGAAGAGAACCAATTCCACACACAAGAAGCAAAGGGACAAAAAAGTAACAGATGTGTAACTTGAAGGGATGAGAGATCCATCCTATGGATGCCCAAAGATTGCGGAATAAGGGGCGAATTTCAAAATTTTTTCTCTCCCTTCAACTGGGAA